AGACCTCTCCCCAGAAAGTGGACATAGAGGAAGACCCCTTAGCTCTCGGGAAGCCCACCCGAACACCAAGGAAAACCATGCTCTCATACAGAGAACCAGGTGGTGGTGATGAAGACATCACATTGTCTAAGGAAACTCCAGAGAAGAAGCTAGACTGTGTAGAAAATCTAGCCGGAAGCAAGAGGTGGAAAAGAAGAGGGAAAGAAAAGGCCCAATTCCTAGAGGACATGGTCGGTTTTAAAGAGCTCTTCCAAACCTCAGAGCACACCAAGGAACCAACAGCTGTTGTCAAAACTGCAATAATGCCTGGCAGATCTCCACTAGCAGAAACAGTCAACACACCAACCCACATGAAGAGATGTCTGAAGATACCTCTGGGCAAGGTAGACGTAGAGAAGGAACTCTCACCTCTCACAGATCCCATCCAAATGCCAGGGGAAGCCACACACACACAGAGAGAACCAGGAGGTGATGATGCAGCCATCAGATTGTTCAAGAAAACCCCAAAGCAGAAATTGGATTCTGCAGAAAATGTAACTGGAAGCAAGAGGCGGTCAAGAACACCCAAGAAATTGGTCCATTCCCTAGAAGACCTGGTTGGTCTCAAAGAGCTGTTCCAAACCCCAGAGCATACGCCGGACCCAGTGACTGATGACAAAACCACAACAGTCCCCTGCAAATCTCCAGCAGCAGATCCAGTCAACAAGCCAACAAGTAGAAGGAGGCGACTCAAGACCTCTCCCCAGCAAGCGAACATAAAGGAAGAGCCCTCAGCTCTCAGGAAGTCCACCCGAACACGGGGAGGAAACGCACACTCATACAGAGAATCAGGAAGTGCTGATGAAGATATCAAATTGTTGAATAAAACTGCAAAGCAGGCACTGGACTCTGCAGAAAATGTAACTGGAAGCAAGAGGCAGTCAAGAATACCCAAGAAAAATGTCCAGTCCTTAGAAGACCTGGCTGGCCTCAGAGAGCTCTTCCAAACCCCAGAGCACACCCAGGACCCAGTGACTGATGACAAAACCACCAAAGTCCCCTGCAAATCTCCACTAGCAGATCCAGTCAACAAGCCAACAAGTAGAAGGAGGCGACTCAAGACCTCTCCCCAGCAAGCGGACGTAAAGGAAGAGCCCTCCGCTCTCGGGAAGTCCACTCGAATGCGTGGGGGAAACGCACACTCACACAGAGAACCAGGAGGTGCTGATGAAGACATCAAATTGTTGAAAAAAACTGCAAAGCAGACACTGGGCCCTGCAGAGAATGTAATGTTCAGGAAAAATCGGCTAAGAGCACCTAAGGGAAAGGCCCAGACCCTGGAAGACCTGGCCAGTTTCAAAGAGTCGTCCCCAGTGCGGGACCACAGCAAGGAACCGGGAAAGGCCGCGGGTAGCCCTAAGGACGCTCCAGAGCAAAGTCCAGGCAGGAGGAAACCTGCGAACGTTTTGCAAAGAGGCCTCAGGGCCCGTAGAGTAAGAGCCGTGGAAGACCTGGGGAGCCACAGAGAGCCCGTCGAATCTGGAAATGAAGGCGGTGTTTCCCTGCCCTCCAAGAGGAAACGAAGAACGGAGGAAGGTTCAACAGGAGCGAAGAGGCTGCGCTCCGTGACCCCTGCGCAGGGCGCTGCAGAGGAGAAGCCACCCCCGAAGAGGAGGAGGACGGCTCCCACAGAGGGGTGTGACCCACCTGAACCCCTGACAGTGAAGAAGAGGCTGAGGGTCGTGGCAGAAAGGATGGAACTCCTGGGAGACCGGCCAAGGAGCAGCAGGGAGATTAAAACAAGGGGAAGAGAAGCAGGAAGGACGACCCCTCCACATCAGGTGATGCTGGGTGGATAGGCCATCTTGGATGGGGTTCTCTGTTGGGGGCTAATGTTTGTTCATAGCTTGAAGGTATATATGAATATCTTTTCCCAAAGGGGTCTGCATTCCACACTGAATAACTGCACACCAGGGTAAAGAATCATTTGGGGATTTACAGAGAGAATAGACAAGTTGGGGAAAATAACTAGTCAAAATTACTAATAATTTTGACAAGAGTTTCTCAGGAACTGGTTGAGTTATGCTCATCTGCAGAGGTAGGAAAGGTGCTGAGAAAAGGTGGGAGCTCAGTCCTGTGTTCCAGACCCCACAAGCAGGAGCACTGGGTGGGAGTGGTATCTGTGTCAGTCTTTACACGGTTAGACAATCCATGTGGGGATTTGCGTCCTGAGAACAACCTACCTGTCCGGCTTGTGAGGTAGGGAGGGTTACTCCTGCACGGAGAGAAGTTCATAAATTCAGTTCCAGAAATTGCGATTCTCCCGTCCTGCTCCAGCAATGATTGGGAAAGGATTAGGAAATCATTTACTGCTTGAAAAGGGCACATTTTTCTAGAATGTCTTTTAAATGCTTGTGGTAATCCCATCTGACATATATGACACTCAGATATGGTGATGGAAATTGAGACCGAATTCCTTATTCACGGTTTACCAGTAGAGAGGATTTCTCCCTGGAACACAGTGATTCCTGGCATCTTAGAAAACAACTGTTAACTTTTCAAGCAAATTCTTTTTAAGTTCACTTTGTTTATTTTTTTAAAGAGTTTATTTATTTTTTTGACAGAGAGATAGAGAGCACAAGTAAGCAGAGAGGCAGGCAGAGGGAGAGGGGGAAGCAGGCTCCCCGCTGAGCAGGGAGCCCAACATGGGGCTTGATCTCAGGACCCTGGGATCATGACCCAAGCTGAAGGCAGCCACTTAACCAACTGAGCCACCCAGGCGCCCCTAAGTTCACTTTGATCCTCTCTCTCTCTCCATGTTGGATTGTGAGAATTGTATTACTCATGACTGGCATGTTGTGCATGTCTTGACACTTTTAGGGAATGTCCCTGCGCTCTAGACGTCCAAATAAAACCGAGGTAGCAGAGGAAAGACCCAAGCCTGTTATAACAGCAGCAGAAAAGCCGAGAACAAAGAGAAGCGACAAGAAGCCCCTGAAGACGTCCCAAGAGACAACGTTACAAAGCCCAGAAGACGGAGCCAAGAATTCGGCATGTGGGGGCAAAACCCGTGAAAGCAGAACGTGTCTGAGGTCTGCCAGCCTGGGTCAGATGCCCTCGCCTGACGTGGCTGAGGAGAAGCAAAGGGAGAAAAGAGTGGGTGTCCGTGGGAAGAAGCAGGAGGAAGAAGTAAGGCAACCTTCAGACCCCATGCGTTTGAGATCCAGAAAAATTACAGTCCCTCCTGGAGGAAATGCTTCAGAGAGCGAACCCCAACAGAGGGTAACTCGGAGCGCCAAGAGATGTGCCGAAAATATAAAAAAGGCAAGTAATTTACTGTTTTCCTTTTTTTTTCTTTTTTTGTGAGCATAGAGTATTGCAATACAATTTTTGCCCCACGTGCAGAAGCAAAGAGAGCATGACCTATAACGCCCTGTCGGCTCCTAGTTATACTGGTGTAGGAAGCATGAGTCTACAGCACGTGTTTTGTCGCAGCTGTATTCAGCTGGATCTGTCTCCACTTCCAGTAGAAAACTGACGTTTTGAAGACACCATCCAGGAAGAGCCAGGAATTTATGCCGTCAGTACTTTCTGACCGCCTGCAACACACCCAGTAAGAAAATTCTGGGTCAAGGTCTTCAGTGTCCCCATTAGTTCAGCAGAACTTACTAAGGCAGAAAGGCGGTCCTGCCTGGCTTTCCCAGGAGTTCCAAGAGTGTCCCACGGTGAGTGGTGTGCGACGCCTGCTCATGTTACGTCACCTTTAGCAGCACGTGAGCCGTCTACCATCTGACTAAATCCACAGCGCGTGCTTAAATTCGGTCGGTGTCCTTCTGCGGAATACATGGTTTTGTGAGTTTGAACGAACGGGGTTCCGCAGCTCCCTTTCTGGGGGTGGTATAAATTTCTGAGTGCGCATTTCGAGCCGAGAGGCTGGTGCTGTGGGTCGCTACTCTAACCCACACACGCGACCTTCCTGCTTCACCGTCCGGTTCAGTGCCAGCTGCGAAGGCAGAGGAGGTCTGTTTCCCGCGAGCCGGAATGGGGGTGATGGCGTCATTGGGCACCCCTGCCCCCCTTTGAGCCGCGAGGGAGCAGGGACAGAGCAGGTGACTGTGGTCAGCGAGAACAGAGTGTACTCCGCCCAGCCCTTTATTAGCTCGTGTAGCGCCCATCCTCTTGTCCTCCGGCGTGTGGGTCTCCACCTTGACCTTTTCCTGATATTTCGGTCATGGGATGACCATCTGCTCCGTAGGTGGGGACACCTTCAGTCAGTGTTCAAGGATTTCCGGTCATTTGCTTTCAAACTCGGCCGTCGATTTTTTCAATTCTTGCCTTTTGTTTTCCTGACCTCCCCTCCCCTCAGTGACATGTTAAAGATCACTTGGTGAGGTCCCTGGTGGGGTCTGCCTCTCATGGGCTGTTGGGTCAGGGGAGGGCGTAAAGTAGGAGCGGACACCCCACTGGTTCTGAGAAGGCAGGTGACCTCTTGTTTGATCTGATTGTCCAGAAGGATGAGCCTCCTCTTAGCTCCTTCGGGAGCAGGTGCGGCCGGTGGTCACACTCACCGAGCATGGAGAGATTGTCCGCTTCATACACAGAGATTCCTTAGAAGACCCAAAACGTCTTGTCCTGTTTATACATTTGAATTCACTTTTTTGAATGGTCTTTTTTAATTAGTGAAAAAAAGTGTGTATTTGTGTGGAAGTTTTCTTTCTTTCTTTATTATGTATTAACTTAAAAATAAGTTACAAAGCTTCCTATTTAAATTTATAGTAACATTTTAAAGAACAAAAGCAACTTTCACAGGGCACATCTCAAAACTCATTTCCAACCTTAAAATTAATTTCCTAAAACTAAAGGCCTGTGTCACACCCAGTAAGGATTTGGGTTTTTGCAGAGTTGGTTACGAAACATTGTTCTTTTCAGTTACTTAAGAGTTCTATTTTTCTTCCCAAACAGGATAATGACAACGTGGGCATCAAGAAATTAAGAACCAGAAGTCGTCGGGACAATGAAGATATTTAGCTAAGAAGTTGAAAAGGGGAGAAAGAAAAAAAAAAGTAATAAGTTCAGTTTAGTGATATATTCTAGTACAATATTTGGGTGAATATAAAAGGGAATTTTGTAAATAATGCTATCTGGCTGTTTAAGGAAAGAAAGCTTAGAATTTTCTGTCTCCAAGTGGTCTATTCACAAAGGCCACGTGGAGGTCATGAAGAGGACTGCTGGTCTCATTAAGTAATAAAAATGTGAAATTTGGCTTGGGGACGGGTGGGGGGCGGGGGTTGGGACCAAGTATGGCCTTTAACGTGGCCAAATGAAGCCGTGACGTTTGTCACCCCTGCCCGTGCTTTTCAGTCCCATGTGCGTGCACTTCCCCACGCTGCACTGTAAATGCTTTGTGTGAGTCTGGGTCCCACGGCAGAATGTGAACGCAGGGACTTCTGTCCCTAGGTCCCCACACTGGGCGGGCACTCAGGAAACATGAATGAATGGGCAGATGAACAAACTCATCGGCTATTTCTTTACCATGTGGGACACGTTGGGTCCACTCTCGAGGGCTGTTGGTCCCCTGCACGGGACAGCCCCGTCCCCGGGGTCCCTACCACGGAAGGGAATACACGTGCGACCTGGAGGAGGCTGGTATTTAATGACTGACTGGCGGCTTGTCTTTTCCGCCTCAGGCTTCTCTGTCTGACCTGGGACTGCTCGCATCTGAGAGGGCCATCCGGCACTGGGTGTCGGGGCCATCGGCCGGGGTGCCACTCGTCTCTGAACGGCGACCGCTCTCCTAGCTTCTCGCGTTTTCCTTTTACCTTTCCGAGCTCTCTCGAATCTGCTCCCACCTGTGCTTTCTCTGACCGCCCCGTCGGCTGCCTTCCTTTCCAGCATGCCCCTTGTTCTGCAAACCACCCAAACCCTCCTCCAGAAAAGATGGCGATTTCTGCGCCGTCCATGCAAGCCACAGCCCCTCTGGTTTCAGACCGAGACAGCTCCCTGCTGGGCATTTCCATCTCCGTGTTCCACTCCGTCCTGTTCCTCTTTCTGTGTCCCCTGAAATAGAAGACAGCGCACCTGCCATCCGGTCACCTGTCCGAGTCCTCCCCACTCCCCTGTCTAGCCAGGTCGAGGTGGGGATGGAAGACTAGAGAGGGCAGCCGTCCCCTGCAGCGGCCCCGTCTGTCCGTTCTGATACTTTTGTGTCTGGCATAGAGCCAGGTGCACGTAATGAAACATTTGCTGAATGAATGCCTGGATCTAGGCACGTCTCTGGGTCAGTGGTAGTTGCTTTTGCCAAAGTGGCTGCCGTAATCACATTCCAAACAGCGTTGTCCAAGATCATCCAGAAGAGTGGCGGCTTGGGGGAGGGCTCTGGGGTGAGGCCGGCAGGGGACACTGGAGAGGCTCCACGGGGCAGGTGATGGTTGAACTGGGCTAGAAGAGGGGTGGGGTCTCGGGGAGCGGAAGAACGGGGAGTAAGTTTAGGAAGTGCAGCCCCGATGAGAAAAGGCACTTTATTTGAAGGTGCGAGTCATGAATGTGTCATTGTAGCAAAATACAAGAAAATGTAAAATAATGGGATTTTTCTATGATTAAGCTGTTCTGCCAACACTTCAGATTTCATAGTAATTATGAACCTTGCATATAGAAAAATTTCAATTAGCACATGCCTGGGGAATGGGATATACTGGTTAATTAAGAAACCCTTTAGGGTTCAGTTCTAACCAAAAACCTCACTGCAGTACATCAGCATATCTCACCTTCGTAAGGGCACAGTATTTCCAGAGCATAGGAAGAGCGTCTTAGAGGCCTGTAGATGCCGGGTTAGGAAGGCTCATGATAAAGCCTGTCCTCAGGACACGTGTTTCACTTGGCATTTTGGGGGGAAGCATCAGACAGTAAGCAACTAGGTCAACTTTGAGGACACGGTGCGAGAAAGAAATACCTACTTGCCCTGGGGTTTGGTAACTTCTCTGGGCCTCAGATTCCAAGTGAGCAACATCCACCTGATAGAAAGTTCTCAGTGAACAGAAACTATTTTTACGTTTTGTGCCTCCACACGTCTGCATGATCTGCCCGCCAGGCTCTCTTTCTGTATTTCTGTACTCTGTGCCGGGCAGCCGCTGACTTCCTTAGGCCAGACCCCTCCCCATACACACACGTGCACACTCCTATTAACACACACACACAATCCTACACACATACTCCTATGCACACATGTACACATCATAGTAACACATTCCCACACACACCCTCATACAAACATACATACACATACAAACAGTACTCCTCTAACACACACACACACACACACACACACTGCACTTTTCTCTGCCTGAGACTCCCCACGTCCTTCCTGCTTCATAGACGGTAACCTCCAGGCCTGAGCTTGGCTCTGGTGAGGCTCCTCCAGGAAGCCTGGCTCCCCGGTTTCCCGGTCCGGCGTGGCCTCCACCCCTTGCTCCGGGGGCCTCCTGGGCTAATCTGTGGCACGTGGCTCCGGGGAAACCAGCGCACTACCTGGGAGTCAGCCTCGTCTGCTAGCACGAAGCTCTGTCCTTCACAACGGGCAGACCGGGGTCCACCAGCACGTTCCAGTGGCCCCAGCCACATGACGTGGCCGACCAGCTGTCTGTGAAGTGACATTTTAAAACCCATAGGCTTTTTATGAAAGGAAGGGTGGGGGGGATGGAGGCAAAAACAGGAGCCACAGACCGGGGAGCCACAGACCGGGGCTGAGTCAGAGGGCCCTGTTCGCTGGCATGTCTGCGTCTCTAGGACTCTGACGTGGTGGGACCGCAACTCTTCCCCTGGCTCCCCTGGCCGGTGAGCCGTCGCATTAGCCCTGCGGGAACAGCCCTCATACATAGAGAAGGGGACCCCCTGGGCCCCCGACCATATCTGATCAGTCTGGGCGGAAGCGGTGGGTCCAGGGACAAGGATTTGACCCAGGCCTGCCAGACTCAGCCTTTTGGCCGCTGGAGCATGATCTAGATCCTGGGAGAGAAGGTGTGAGCAAGTCCCGGGGGTGGGGTCCCGGGGGTGGGACCCCGTGGTGAGTGCGCTTGTCCCGGGGAGGAGGTGTTCTGTCGGGAGGTAGAGCAAGGCTATCAGGTGTCTGCGTGTGTCTGGACTTTATCCCTACCTGGAGGGGCTGAGGAAGAAAGGAAGGGAAGGCTCCCTCAATCCTACACACGTCAGGACGGGGAACCTGGGACTCGACTGCCCCGCACTCACCGGGTGGAGGCTTCCCAGGTTGTCACGGGGGGACGACATCGCAGATGTCGACTCCATAAAGCAAAGGCTACCTCTTCACTAACAATGAGTCAAGATACGTGGCTGGGATACTATCTAGGAGTTTCCTCTAGGTGAGCCACTGAATCGTCTTCCTGGACGCAGTTCCAGGCCCCCTCCCCCGGATTCCAGGGCCGTGCAGAGAGACCAGGCCTCTGAGGGCAGGGGCATGGTCCTCCCCATCTTGGCACCTCCAGCGCTGGCACATGAGCATCCAGTAATCTGTAAACTGGGAGTTCGTGAATGGTGGTCTTTACAAAGGACAGAATGCCCGTGACTTGTTCGCACAAAGCCCCTCCTCGTGTCTCCACCATGATTTCGTAGGAATGAAAGATCTATTTGATATGTTTATTGGGCCCCAGAGAGCCCTGCTGTTGGGCAGACTCAGCCTCATTCTCACCAACCCAATCTGTAAGCTAGTGAGTCCCAAAGTTTCCCGGACGAGGGGTTTAAACAGCCATCAGTGACGATCTTCTATAAAGTATTGAAGGGAAATATTTCTAATCTGAGTAACAGAAGGTTGGGTGTCTTGTGATAAAAAGAATCACAATAAATCGAGAAAAAGTCAAGTGACTTTTTGGAAATGGATAAAAAATTTGGAAGCTGGATAAAAAATCCGAATTGGTGATTCACAGATAAAATACAAAAAATAAAAGGTGAAAAGATGCTCGACCCACTGCAAGTTAGGGAAATGCAAGTTGAAATGAAGTATGACTTTTTTGCTTCTAGGTTTTGCAAAAACTAAGAGGTTTGCTCGTATCCAGGGTTAGTGATGCAGAGGCAAACAGGAACCAGCTGCAGCACCAGCGGTAAACGAGTTAGGCCATCTTCTGGCAACGTGGCAGTTACTACTGATAATTAAGATGATACATATTAAAATGTGTATAGCCCAGAAACTCCACCCCTAGGAAGCTCTCCTGGAGAAGTACTTGGCACCCGAGAGCAAACGCACGTGCATGCAGGTGTTTTCGTCCCGACACTGGAGGATGCAAGCCAATGTCCATGACGGAGGAATGACCATCAGAGTCTGTGAGGTTTGGAGAATACGAAGTAGCCCTTTAAAGGCAGCTGAGGAAGCTGCATGCGTGTGGACATGGCCAGATGCTAAGAACGTTGAACAAAATGGCGATTCACACAACTGCATAGAGGGGACCTGTTTCGTCACTTCTAAGATGCAAAGTTTTCATATATTAATTCTCTAAGGTTCAGATGTATCTCACCCTTGAGTCCTCCGGTGCTCGGAAATGCCATGTAGCCTGGTAGAAGGCATACACCGCCTTCCTAATCCACGCCATTCAATCCTAGCCAGGCACTAAGCTCCTTCGGCTGTTGGCTAACCTGCTCACTAACCTGCAAGTCTGTCTGAGGTCATTAGCATGTGAAGGCATGTTTGAATGTTTCCATTTGATGGGGGGGGGGTACCCCTGTGGCTGGCCTGGTGTTCCTTCCTTTTCTGAGGCTGTGGTCTCGGTCAGATTGGTTGAGTCCCCTGGTCCTCGGTTGTCTGGTTGATGCCCATTCTTGCCCCCACCATCCATCTCCCAAACCTCCCCTGTCTGCACCTACACTTCTCTAGTCCCTTTATCCCAGGTCCTGCTGTACCTAGAGCGGATAAGGGACATGCAGACATGCAGATAGACCCGTAAGGAACACCCAGTAATTAAATGGTCCATGGGAGCAAATGGCATTTCATAGCAGGTGATATTTGGGGGTGGGAGGAGAGGGAAAGGGATATAAAAGGTTATGAAATCATCCATTTTAGCAAATATAACAAGCCTCATAAAATTTATTAATAAATACAAATAATAAGACGCATATGTTTAAATTCCACGTTAGCCCTGGGATATCTGAAAGAGGACGTCGGTGTGTGGGCCTGGGAAGGAGGTGAAGGTGGAGGGGTGCAGAGAGAGATTTGGGGATGACCAGAGACATATGCATGTGCAAAGGGAGATCTAACAGGGTTTCAGATTTTAGGAGGCAAAGCAGCGTTGGAAGGACTTTCTGATTCCACCTGGCCGTGGACTTTAAGCATTCTGTCATCTTCCTTGGGGACTCCGAGAAGCCACTGCTCAGAGCACAGATCCCTGTTTGGATTCCAGTAGGAGCACAGGCTCCCAGAAGGGCAAGTTATTACTCTGTGCTGCACACACGGGTCATGCCTTCTGAAGAGCAGCTGGGAGCTGGGGCCAACCCCCAGCCACCATGCCTAGTGTC